CTCAGCCTAACTCCTGACTCCAGAAAGAATGTGCAGCAAATCCTTCGGTAAGTCATTCCAGACACACAATGATAAGGTGAATGGGAACAGTCATACTGGATTTCCTAAGTATGCCTTGTGCCTGACAAACATGATAGCATTCTATCATGAAATGACTGGCTGTGTGGCAAGGGGAGGGCAAATTTTCTTCACTTTCATAAAGTAAAATCATTCATTAGTCAGGCTTTTGACACAGCCTCTCATTGCCTTTGAGCAAATTGGAAAGATGTGATTTGGATAGGTGAATTACTGGGTTGATGGAAAACTGGCTGGACTATGGGATTCTAAATGCTGGGATCATCAGTATTAAGATCAAGTGCTAGTTGGCTACTCTTGGAGTTTCTAAGGATTGATGCTAAGCTGAATATTCTTAATATCCTCTTTAATAACTAATCCACACTTAATGACCTAACTGCTATATCAAAGTTATCAAACTGACAGACAATGCCAAAGTGGGGAAACTGAAAAAGATACTCAGTGGTGGGATGTTTGATTCAGAGGGACCTCAGGTGGGAAAGACAGGCCAACACCTATCTCAGGAACTTCAATTAAAGCAACCATCCTACATTTGCACACAGAATAAACTCATACAACAGCACAGGCATAGGGCTGACTGAATAGAAATGAAATTTTCAGAAAAGGATTCAGGATCCTTTTTGATACTTTCTAACAAGTTTAACATGAGTTATCAGCAGATCTTTTTTTACAACAAGGATGACAAACTGCACTCTGCCCTATATTATATGTACCTCTCAGGTCAGATGAGTACCTCTCATATCTCCTCTATTTGACTCTGGAGAATGACTATCCAATTTGGGTATCAATACAAAGTTCTGTCATACTGGACAATGCCTAGTGGAAGGCCACCACAATGATTAAAGCTGTGTTTGTTCAATCTCAAGCAGAGAAGGCCATAGGGCAGGATCACAGTGCTGTCTTCAGCCACCTAATGAAGCTCACAGGAAAGACAAAGCTGGACTCTTCTTGAGTATACAAAGCAAAAGGATGAGGGGCAGTGAATATACAAGTTATGATAAAGAAAATTCCAGGGTAACATTAGGAAAATTTTCACCGTGAAAGTCAAGCCTTAAGAAGTGCCCAAGAAAGACAGAATTTCAATCCTTACAGATATTTCAAATGCTGGAGCATGGACATAAGCTGGAGCAGCTGGATCTAACTTTGCTGGTTGACACTGTCTTGGGACTGGGCGCTGAACCAGATAATCTCCAGACGTCCCTGATTCCTCTGATTCTACCATGGCAGAGACTCAGCTTGGGCACTCAAAAAATCATGAAAGTGTCTCCAGTGCAGATTAATCTGCCCGGAAGCTGTCCAAGTAATAGATTCTTCCCCTCTTGCCAAAATGTTCCTTGGTGCACACTCATATTTTGGGTGAAAAAGGTCTGTGCACATATAAAACCAGTTAAAATACATGCAAATAGTGTGAAAGGTAGTTTAAAAAGAATTTAGGTTTTCTGCATAGTCCTAAACAGCATCAGCTGCAAAGCACAATGTTTGTGTTATCAAAAAAAGCCCAGAGCTTTGCTACTTGCTACAGCTAAACTTAAAAGTTTGCCATGTAGATTGTCTTTTCTCTCTTAGCAAGATCACTGTTAAACACTTAACAAACATTAGAATATCAAATATGATTGTTTTCTAAAGAGCCACCTGGAATGTCCAAATGCTATTTTGCTTTGTTTTCACCCAAATGTACTTACACTACTAATTATGTGATGGTTTTCCTCAGTGCTTCATTAAAATCAGACCTAAAAGGATGAATGAAAGCTAAGCTATACTTGTTCCATTTCTAAAAGCGAGCAGTAAAGAAAACCGTTGATAGGGCAGCAAAACAGATTAAATCATTCTCAAATTTTGATCTGGTATTTCTGTTTCAGTATACTATCAAATGTACTACAAGACCACAGACTGAAGGTGAGCCTGACATCTTGAAAATAATAGCGATGATTCTAGACTTAAAAGGTAAAAAACTTGATAGACAGAACATTAAATACTCGAAAAACATGAAGAGAAGAGAGGAAATCTTGGTAACATCTTCCACTTGCTGCAAATAGATTAATTTCAATGAAACCTGGATCAAGACATGTACTATAAGACCAATTCAACTGATTCTGGAACAGTAATTTATTCCAAAAAAAGTCAACCACCTCAATAATTTACAAGTCCAGAAAACATATACAGATAAAAAAGAATAAGCTACATTTTTTGGAACTGCAGGAGAGAATTGTTTAAAAGAAGAGATAGAGGTAGTCAGTGCTCAAGAAATGTTTTGTTTTGTAACAATGGTACAAGCTTCTTACTGTGGGCAAGACTCCCTTGTGTTATAAAGCTTAACTGGTTTTATTTAAACCTACAGTTGCTAATTGTTACTGAATTGCTAGGACAGAAATTCATTGCCTTGTAAACTAATCTATATTTTAAATTAACAGACAAGTACTTACATAGCCAAGGTCAGCACATTAAACTTTCTGACCTAAAAGGTAACTCTAATACAGCAGAATAACTAAGACCAAAAGATATCACAGAACACTGACACAAAAAGCTCCTGCAATTTTAGGAACTCTGATACATCAACAGGTTCTCCTGCCCCATGAATGAGATGGTGCATATAAGAAGTACCTGATGTTCCCCTCCTCCTCCACTGAGGATGCTCCCTTCCCAGACACCTGCAGTAGCAAAGCAAAGATGCTGTTTTTCAAGTCAGTGGTTCATGGAATGAGGACATTTTTGTGTGAGAATATATGATCCACAAGGTTTATATGAACTATTACTAGTTTTGGCAGTGTTCCACACTGTGGGGCAGTTAGTGCCTTTGACATACATCCAGAGCCAATAAAGAAATCAGACTGGCTGAGATACCATGGCAAGAAGGGCGAAATGAAGAGATCCATGGCAGGTCTAAGAACTAATTCAAACATCACAACAGTGTCGAAGTCTTGGGTTATTGAAATAGTGATTTTTTGGTACCAATAACATGCAAGACTGAAAAAAATAATGCCTATCAGAAAAAAATGATTAGGTGAGAACATGACAAGGAGCTGAAGGAAGAGAAGATTTGGTAAAGAATATCAAAAGTTTCTTTAACTATCATGTTGGTTTCCCCAACTTAGTATTTTTATCAACATTTTGTATTACTGAATTTTTCCTAAAATTAATTCATCAAATTGAGTTGGAGATGGACATTACACACTAGAGAGGACTGAAGAGCTGTCATGTGCCAATTAAGAACTAGAGCAAACCCCTATGTTGAACCCAGCAGCTAGTGTTAGAAATTAGACCAATTATCTCATTCTAGTGATTTTTCTTTCCAAAAAAAAAAATAAAATATATATTTCTAGTCATAAAAGCATTTCCTACTCTGTAATGTATTAAAATTTGAACTTTGAAAATGGTAGTAGATGTGCTTATACAACTCAAGGGAGACAGAAGAAAAAATCAGTTAACTTTCTAAAAACAAGAAGTTTAACTTTCTTTTGCTGCAGTTACTAAGTATTTGTCCACAAGAATACTACAGAAAGTTCAACCATCTTGTGAAGATTTACTATGGAAAATCTGGAAATTAGATCTAGGCATTTAAGTATAAATACAGGATTTCAGCCTATATTTACCTGAATATTTCAATGCATTCTTAATTACTAGTTTGCTACAAATGGTCTTGTAACACCATCAACCTTTTTAAGGTTCAGAACTCTTCATAAAAATTTATGAAATTATTTTCACAAGATCACACCAAGGAGGTTTAAAACTATATTAGCATATAAGTACAACAACAAGGGCAAAACCATGTCATAGAACTATTAAAACCCCAGCAAATATGGACAGTTAAGCTTATTAATACTTAAAGATTGCAAATAAATGTGCATAAATTCACACTACAACTTTACATACAATATAATACATACAACACTGCTACATCAGCACTGAAGAGAAAGATTACAACAGGAGAGCTGACAACTGCATTTCTCTAAATTCACATAGTCCTCATTTTCTCCTGTACAATACACATGCACTTTTCTTAATCAATGAGTTATGAAAATGTATGATTGTGGAAGACAAATTAAAATATCATAAATATTTTAAAAGCCAAAAATCTATCAATTATTCATTCAATAAATAAAAATTTTATTAATTTATTTCTTTTGTTCTGTTATTTTTGTAGATTGTAACTCCTCTTTACTGAGCATTTGCAGATTTTACAGCTAGAAATATTTATTTAATCCTATCTTTGTACTTTACAGTTTGAAGAAAAAATGTTCAAAATTGTGGTCTGGTAAAACTACATATTTTTAATTTCCGTATTACATTAGCTTTTACTACAGCATAATTATTTCTAGATTTGAATCCCTCTTCAGTAATTGTACCCAGTTGCACAATGCCACTTAAACTGAAAATGTAACATTTTAACTCATTTAACATTTGTAATTCATAGTACATTTTTTTCTGAATGTGCCAAGATTCAATAAATGTCCCTCTTTACAAAAGGAACAGTCTTCCTCAAACTGTCAAAAGATAGCCCTGAAAATTCTTTACCAACTCACATAATTGTAATAATAATTACACATCTGTTGTTCAATATCAATTATTTTAACACCTAAGGTAAGTTCTAAAGATAAATAAGCTCAATGGGCACCTTAGTTCAGTTCGTACTGTCTATATCCAGTAGGTTACACATAAACATAACACACTGTATTCAAAAGAACGTATGTCTGTTTTAGAAGAGACACAAGTTAAAATTGTTAGACTCTACTGCCAGAGGTACAGCTAAAAATATTTCTTTAAATAAAAGGTCAATACTGAAATACTTATAAATAAAAAGTATTTATCTCCAGTTTTGATGGTACTCATCACACATTCTGTATTTAGTACAGAAATCTAGGAATTTAGGCTTTGTAATGTAAAAATGATACTTCTCAGTTTATGCAAATTAATTTCAATTTTGTTACCTTATTTACTTCCATGATTTCCCTTCTCTCTTCACTAGCAAAACGAAGCTGGCTTGCAGCACCACGATCATCATGCTTGGAGCCATCTTCTTCAACATATGGAATAAGTTGCTGTGAAAATAAGAAATGTCAGCTTAAAAGAAAAAAAAAAAAAAAGAAAAAAATCACCAAAAATATATACGGTACTTTCATTTTCTCCACAGGTTCTAACTGCCCCAGAGAAAGTGGAGACAAGCCTGCTTGCCACCTCAATCCTAAAGGCCTTGCAATGACCTCAGTTGGTTCCCCAGGAAAACCATGTGCTTCAAAAAGACACAATCCCACACATTACCAAGTCTAGACCAAAGAAATTTCATAACTGCAGGCAGAAGCCAGTCTTTCCATTTTAAGATGTTTATCATAGATAATCCCTGTAGTTTTGAATTCTGCAGATTGGGATTTTAAAATTTACTATTCCACACTAAGAAATAAAACCACAAACATGATGTTATCATTATGATAAAGCATTTTAGTGATATACTGAACATAAATATGACTGGCTTTACATAGTTACTTGGTTAATACTCTAGTTATGACTTGCTGTTTTAATGAGCCTCTGTTTGGCTACTCTTAAGACCAGGCCCACAGTTACCTCAAATGAGTTTTCTTCTGTAAGTATTTCTCACCATGATCTCCTCAGACACACAGAATCATAGTTTGGTTTAGGCTGGAGAAAAGTATAGTGTGCTGTCTTTTTCGTAAGCTCTGACAAAGCCAAAATTCCTTGATACAGAATTTCTAAATGAATACTACCAAATGCTTCCTTCTTAGAAAAAAAATAAATCAAAAAGAAACATACTAGATACAAAACAAACACTTGTTTCTGTGTCAGAACACTCCCAAGCTACTAACAATTTCTTAACAGTTAATACATCCATGAAGTCCACAGACTGACATTTTTTTCTGTCCTGAATTATGCAAAATTACATACGTGTTCACATACACACTACAGACAAATGGAAGACTAATAATGATAAAAATAAAAATAATGAGAAAGAAGACAATAGTTTAAAAGCCTGGGAGCAAGTTGCTCATCAAGTGCCTATTAACTTCTTAGTTAGGTTAGGGTGTAATATTACAAAGCATTCAGTGCCTTCAGCACTCTGATGAAAAATTTACTTTGATTTAACCCACTAAAAATGTAATTTCCTTCGATACAAAAATTTTTGCATCCATTCTTATTAAGCTTAGCAAAATGGACAAAAGCGACCACACTAAACTCTGCCATGAAAAAGTAGCAAATGTTGACCACTTACTACATTTGCAGACCATAAAGAAGTAGGGGGACTGCTATATGCTCTTGGAAAAAAACTCTCTGATGGAAAAATAAAGTAGCATTCAATGGAGAACATTTCCCTTGAAAATTTCCCTATCTTTCAGAAAAGGTGATAGAAAAACGAAATAAAAACAAACAAAAAACAAAAACAAAACACAAACCTACAAAGAAAAGCAGAACTATACCTAATATACGAAAGAAGCAGTAAATTTAACCTTTGTAGGCAGATCTCCACAATTATCTCATGCCTTGCTATGTTAGTTAACAGAAAGTTAATACTACCTGTTACACATTCGTACAGATTAACAAAACGTATGAAAACATTTAAGTCCATAATAATGGAATAAGCAATAGTAGTAGCTATGGACTTCTCTTTACTATGCAAAAAAAAAGTTTTGTTAATATTCTGTAAAGACATGATTAGAATATTGGCCATTAAATAATACAATTGAGGCTATTATTGAACTACTGGAAGAATTATTTAAGAAAACTGATCCAAGACTGTACTACTGTCATTCACTCTAACCAACAAAAACATGAGGAGGCAGGCATCTACTAAGTTCAGGGAAGGAAAGTCTAAGAAGATTAAAAAAAATACCCCAACTATCTATAAAAAATCTGCTGTGACTACGTTATCAGTGAAACCTAGCATTAAAAAAGCCTGAAGTGACTACTTATTTTCTCTATGGAGATTCTTTCCCATCCTGATAACGGGGAAAAAATGTGAAAAGTTACAGAAAAAAACCAATCCAACCCCACGTAATTCCATTGATATGGGAAAATAAGACACATGAAAAGCTTTTAAAGAGGACACAAGTATTTGGTTATTGTGCACAAGTCAACATGGTGTCAGAACTGGTTTTATTTTCCTAAATGGGAAAACTAACTTATCACCTTGCTTGCTGTCAGGTTTCCAGATACATTTCTCTGAAACCCTTGTCAAAAGTCAGCAACTGTTAATTGAAATAGTAGTCTAGAATGGACTACACAGAATGGACCTCTTCCTTTCTTTACTCCTATTCACTTACAAGACTCACGCTTCAAATACAATGTCTATATGATTAAAATTCAATGGACAATCAAAAGCCTGTTAATAAAGTTGCCTCAGAATCCAGAGGTCAGTTCTTAAAGAATTTCAAAGTTCTGGTTAATATAGAGCAGGAGCAACTCAGATTGTAACAAAACCCAGGGTTTAAGAGTCTTACTAGAAATTAGAAACAACTTATGAGGAAGATGACATTTAAAATTTTATGAATTACAAGATTTTAAGAAAAACTTCAGCCAATCCTCTTCCCTGGAAGTTTTACATTGTAACTTTTCTATCACCACTGCATATTTAGGTTTGGTTCATACTGGCCAGCAGGTTAGGAATAGCTGAGTGAGAGAACTATGGAGGCACAGACTACTGACCAGAGAAAGTAAATAATACTTATTACTCAGGAGCCACACTGACAGGTGAGAGTATCAGGCAGTCTTTTTCCCACTTCTTCCCACTTTTTTTAAAAATCTGCCCTGATCCTCTTTTTTTCTTCCTAGGGAAAACAAACTGGTGAAGGTATCAAGAAGCCAGAAGAAAAAAGGTTAAAATTTTAAACTAAATTTGCTTTCACAGAATCACAGAACCAATTAGGCTGGAAAAGACTTCTGAGACCAAATCAAACTTATGACAGAACACCATGTCAACTAGACACTAAGTTTCACCATCTTTCAACAAGCTCTAATTAATAAACAGAATTCAGTCCACTGAATAATTCCAGTATCATTAAAATGTGTTATGAGTCTCCTGCAAACGAGGAAGATGGATGAGTTGCCATCCAGAGTGGTAACTCTGATCTGCAATTTATACATAAATAAAGATACTTACTTCTATGGGAACAGGATCAAGCCCAGCACAGTTTTCATTACATTTGTCATAGACTAGTCTCAGTTTTCTGAAGAGTATTGATAGCTGACGGAGATGTTCCTGCAGCTTTGCCAGTCTGTCTTGGTATGTTGCAGTATGATAAGTAACACCATTTGGTAACTTAAGAGAACCAAAACATTAAAAATATTACAGTAAAGTTTCTGTCACATGAAATAAATAAAGACATCGGAAAGGTTTTTGTATATTTTAAAATAAGACAATCACACTTTTCCCATAGCAATCACTGAAATTTTTATTTTCTTTACTAGAAAAATTACGTATTTTATGTGCTCAATCACTGCTGTCAAAGACCCTCATGTATTCTACACTTTTGTCATTGTCAATCCTTCTGACTTTTCAGTGAGTGTCTTCACAATGCTTAAATATAATGCTGCTGTGACTGGGGTTGAGATTCTGTGTCTCAGTGACACATGGGAGTCATGAAAATACAGAAGGAGTGGGTGTGGTCATTTATCTTGTACTCTACACAGAGAAAACACATCAGAAGTTTGTATGCTTTCTCAGTAAGTAGACACAAATAAGGATTATGTCGCTTTTTCTAAGAAAAGAAGAAGTTATAGGTGGAAAATATTACAGAAAAATATCAACGAAAATTACTCTAAATTTACTCCCCATACGTTAACAGAAACAGAGAAACATAACTGACATATGAACAGACTTCATTACACATAAAACAGTTACTAAGCATATTTAGAGCTTTTTTATTGTGGGGGCAAAGACAATTCAGCATTTCTGAATTTCACTTAATGTACAGGACTAAGCAGATATATTAAGAGTAGTACTCCTTCAACCAATCCTCCTTTTCAGAGCAGCTTGATCGAGTTTTCTAAACGTCCTAAGGCATCTCCTGAGTCTATATATACTGGCAGTTGGTAACAAAAACACGGCAAGTTGCGTGTATAAAACTAAATAGTTGCTTCTCACCTGCATGTTCCTCAGTAACTGGAAGATCTCCATGGTTCGAAAGACAATGTCCTGCACGGTCTCCTGGCCGATGCGGCAGAGGGAAGCCGTGTTCACCTCTCTGGCAGCCTGAGCCTGCGTCCCGGAGAAAGCGCCCGGAGGCATCCCCGCCCCGGCCAGAGGGGGGGTCGACATCTCCTGCTGTTGACCAGTGACACTAGGGCAAGCTGCACGGAGAAGTCATGATGGAACGGTCAAAATACTTGTTTGACTCTACCCTAGCAAACTTCTGCAGCGTGGCTATCCCACTTCTTTTCCCCGCACACGGCTCTGTCCAACAGATAAGGGCGGCTCAGCGCAGCCCCCCTCGGTCCGGACACGGCAGCTTTACCCGGCGGTGGAACTGGGGGCGCCCCTCACGCACCTCCCTCCCCTCAGAGCGGTCAATGGGCGCCGCCCCTGCCCCGATCCGGCCCAAAGGGAACACGACGGAAGTTTTTGCCCAGCTCCGGCAGTCAGAATCGCAGCCCCGGGCTCCGGGACCGGTACCTGCCTGACCACTCCTCCCTTCCCTGACCCACCTGCTCCCGGGGCGAAGCGGTGCCCCAGCCCCACAGCCTCACCCGACGCCGCGCTTACGCCAGGGCCCGGCCCCGCTCCGCGCTGCAGCCACTCCCGCCGCGCTCACGGGCCCCGCCGCGCTCACGGGCCCCGCCGCGCTCACGGGC